GCATCTCTCTGGCTGCCAGTCAAATTTATCAAGCTGCTTTGCTCCTTAAGCTAGCGTAGCGAGCTAGCTTAGCAAGCTGGCAACTAGCGTAGCAGCTAACACAACATGGCAAAGCTTCTGACAAAAAAAAAAAGACTGAAGGAAGCGTCCAGCAGCCCGGCTGCAGGAACTCTGCTGGAAAAGTCTAAACTACAGAGGTTACATAAAACTCATGAAAATGTTATGGATTTTATTATCAATGTTAAGTTTTTTATCTGGTAGTGTACTGAACATCAGATGAATAAAGTCACTGACATTTTCCACCACAGAATTCACTGCCAACAGAAATGAGAAGGTTTGAAGCAGCGTTTATGCTGAATGGATGAAACGATTATAGAAAAGTAATACAAGTGGAAGATTCAAAGTTTCTGTACAGCAACAGACACAAACTAAAGCCGACGTGAAGCCAGAAAAAAACTGAGAAAATATAAGAGCTGTTTTAACTAAATTATTTTTGAAGATGAAAAAGTGAATCTAGTTCTTTTAATCAATATTAAGGATTTATTTACTGAAGACAAGCTTATGCACTTTGCTGAAAAGTTACTTGTAATTTAGTTTTGTCTGATTTGGAGTTGCTGTGACATTTGTAGTTATGCACTAATCCAGTTTTCACTTCCCAGAAGCAGAGGATGATATAAGTAAAGAAAGATATCGGAACTAGAAACTAACCAGAGAATTAATATCAGCAGATACAAAAATAGCTACTGAAATGACTTCAAAAGCTTTTATTTTTATTATTTTTAAAATACAGACATAAAAGTAGAGAATTATTAAATTTTTGATAACTCTGCACCAGAACAGCAGACTTAAAACACATAAAAACAGCTTTAATTTGTTCAGCCAGAGCAGTTAGGAATAAAACAGCCAATTAAAAATAATTAATAAAGAAACTGAACCTGACAAAAACAACAGATGGACTCTCTTGGTCAAAGATGTAAAGATAAACTGCAACAAACGTTTGAAATGGTTCAGAAAATGCAACTAGGAATTATAAATATAAGGAAAGATAAATAATAAAGCATATAATTAGACTGAATAGATGTAAACTTATGGATCAGGAACACTGATGCCTGATCTAGATTGTTTCCAATATTGGGACCAATGCAGATATTGATGTCACATCGGTGCATCTTTGCAGTAGAAACGAGAGAAAACATCCCTGGTCAGGTTTTGTGTTTTTACAGTGCAAGGCGCTGCAGCAGGACTTTACCTCTGAGCTCTTCAGGTGTTTCTCCTTCAGACAGAAGCTTCTCCAGGTGTGAGCTCAGGTCCTGGAAACCAAGAGGCTTCCTGCAGACCGACACAGAAAGGCTGAAGGTTCGAGTCCCCTGAGGAGCCGGGACCAGAACCAGAACAGAACCAGCTGGAGCTCCGGTTACCTGGTTACCTTCAGGCTGTGTTCTGGACATCACACACTGATCAGATTCTTTATTCAGTCAATACTGTCTTTATGGACGGAGGTTAGGAACAATAATGTTAAAGCTGGAAAATTTAGGATCAGTGCAGAACCCCGGTTCTTTGGCACTTTAAGTCCAGTCCAAACTTTATTCAGTTTTATTATTATTATTATCATTATCACCATTTACTTATTTAATTCAAACATCAAAATGTGAAATAAACATGATTATAAAATAAAAAAGAGATAAATAAAGTCAGAAAGGATTAAATCTATAAAAAATGGAAACATCCAGAGAGAAGAGAAGAAAAGTTTGTCCGAACAGCTGGCAGAACCGTTCTATCATTAGAACCGGGCCTGAAACATGAAGCTGGTGGCTTACAGGACCACACACACACACACACACACACACACACGGCCTGATATGACCTTCCACTGACTGAACTGCAGTGAGTGTGTCAGAGTCAGAACCGGGCCGGTTTGGGCTGTAGAACCGGCAGCGGGTGTGGTACCTGAGCGAGGCGAAGGTCGGCTCCGGCTTGGTGGAGGGAAACACGTGGTGCAGGTAGTCGCTCAGAAGCTTCTCGTTCACAATACCTGGGAGACAACATACATCACCAATATATTACCAATATACTACCAATACATCACCAATATGTTATCAATACATCACTAATATATTACCAATACATCACCAATATATTACCAATACATCACCAATATATTATCAATATATTACCAATATACTACCAATACATCACCAATATGTTATCAATACATCACCAATATATTACCAATACATCACCAATATATTACCAATACATCACCAATATGTTATCAATATATTACCAATATACTACCAATACATCACCAATATGTTATCAATACATCACCAATATACTACCAATACATCACCAATATGTTATCAATACATCACCAATATATTACCAATATACTACCAATACATCACCCAATATGTTATCAATACATCACCAATATATTACCAATATACTACCAATACATCACCAATATGTTATCAATACATCACCAATATATTACCAATATACTACCAATACATCACCAATATGTTATCAATACATCACCAATATATTACCAATACATCACCAATATGTTATCAATATATTACCAATATACTACCAATACATCACCCAATATGTTATCAATACATCACCAATATAATACCAATACATCACCAATATGTTATCAATACATCACCAATATATTACCAATACATCACCAATATGTTATCAATATATTACCAATATACTACCAATACATCACCAATATGTTATCAATACATCACCAATATATTACCAATATACTACCAATACATCACCAATATGTTATCAATACATCACCAATATATTACCAATATACTACCAATACATCACCAATATGTTATCAATACATCACCAATATATCACCAATACATCACCAATATGTTATCAATATATTACCAATATACTACCAATACATCACCAATATGTTATCAATACATCACCAATATATTACCAATACATCACCAATATATTATCAATACATCACCAATATATTACCAATATACTACCAATACATCACCAATATGTTACCATACATCACCAATATATTGTTAAAACATTTGATGTTTCATTAATTGTCCCCAAATCCACAATCCATAAATAATAATTTATAGCTGGTTGTCAGGCATTTTGCATTCAGGGATCATGGAATCCCTAACAGGAAGTACTTCCTGTGACCTGCGGCTGACCTCTGGTGTCCTACCTGTGGATCTGGGTTTGTCCATGTCTGAGGCCAGTCTGTAGTTCCTGCGAGTCAGAGCTGTGACTCCTCCCTTTGTGCTCATCCTGATTCACCGCCCGCACACTGCTGACAGAACAGAGTTTCAGGTTTTCCCCCACCGCATCGTAAGCCTGGCAGCTGCCAGGCTTACGTCCCCCACCATCCTAAGATTCTTTTCTTTATTTTAAATAACATCTTATACACCAGTAATAGTGATATCAAAGACAAATTAAAGAGTATCTTTGATAAAACGATTGAAAGGGCAATTGCAACATCTCAAGTGTGAGGTCAGGGGTCATTTTTTTGATCAATGGATCTCATAATTTCCTGTCAGCACACTAACAACTTCATCAAACGAAGTGATTAGACATGAATAAAGGACTGAAAGTAAATAAAATTCTTTCCTGAAATCTGAGAGGTAGCAGAGACAATGTTCAGCTGCTGTACTCGCCTGGCCAGAACCTCGGCGGGATACATGAGGCAGTTAGGATTAGTGGGTTAGAGTAAGGTTAGTTAGTGCCAGCGAGAATGCATATTAGTACATCATAAAGGAACCTTCTGCATATGGAGAGCCTGAGCGGACGTGAGACTGATGTGAGCCCATAAATCAGTGTGAACATAGAAAAACATTTTGTATGTGCTTGACTCTGCATCTGTCAGCTAATGTGCCACCAGCCAGTCACAGACAGCTCTTTTTCATCCAGCTAGGCGATTCCTGTTTGGATAAATAACAGCCAATTAGAGCACAGCACCAAGTGGCATAAATTACCAAACAAACTGAGAATATCCAGCTTGGCCGTACACAGTGGATCCATTGCTTTCATGAGGTTCGTTGCTGACAGAACCCACAAGGGTTGATTAATCCGAATCTCAGCAAATTTACATCAGTCAAATAGTATTTTAATTATTATTTTACCACAAACTAAATCTTAAAGATGTCCTGATATAACCAGGGAATATTTCCTTCTGTCTCACTTTCAGCTGAATATTTCCTCTTACTGATGTCGAACAGTTTTGCAGTAAGAAGCTAAACGTTACACCAGGTTAGTAACAAGCATTTATTATCCATTAATTAAGTTACTCATCAGCATTTATTCTCCAGAATCTCATAATGTTTAAGCTCAAAGGCGTCCTGGTCCTCCAGGCTCTCTAACGCTGCTGTTAGCTTTAGCTGGAGCCCCATAAACTGCTGTTAGCTCTGTTAGCTCACCGCAGAGCTCGGGCTAACATCAGCTGTCGGGTTCGGTTCTGGTTCTGCGAGGGATGACAGCAGGTGTTGGCTCAGTTCGGTTTGGTTACCTGTCAGTCATAAAACTAGCAGTAAGCTAACAGCTAAAGATAACTAGCTATTGCTAACCTTACCTCCAGCGTCTCACCGCTTGAGCGGGACTCCCCTCCAGCGGTGTCCCGCTGCTGTGAGCTTCACACCGGCTGATGGAAGATCGGTGAGCCGCTGATTTTTCCAGTTTGTTGACGCCTGAAGTGTACGGAGTGCAGCTAGGTCCAAAATAGAGAACACAAATCCCGTTCCTGGAAACAACGTGAGAAGAGGAAGACGTCAGGGCTTCTCAGTTTTTATATTTAGTTACTACGTCAACATACTTTTATTCGAATAAAGTCAAAAGTAGCATCCAAGACATTACTCAAGAAAGAATGAAGGCCACAGAAGATGTTTATCCAGTGGAAAATAAACTCAAATGAGGCACACTATGGGCACACTGATATGTCTCCCTCTCTTGGTCACTTTATGTCACTGCAGACTGAAACCGCCCTTCCAGTGCATGCGCTAGTTCATTCGGGTATTCTCACTCACCAACATCAAACATATGCAGGATAATTATGGCATGGATGGAGAGCCCATCTGAGGACGATGAAAGGTGATCATGCTGAGGTTAGACCGAATCATTTGATTAAGTTTCTCAGACTCACATTCAACTGTTTTATGAAGTTTTTTTTTAAGTTAAATGATTTCCTGTGGTTGCTGGAAGTTGAATAGCTCAAATTTATGTTCATTCATTCATCTCGTAAATTGTCTTTCAAAATATGACATTTATATTCAAGGAAACCTAAATTCACTGGGTCTACTTCTTACCAGTCAGTCGGCATGTGGGCCGGTTCGAAGTGAAGCCGAGAGGAGGAGGAGAGGAAGTTTAACAGACAAGTAACAGTGGATGAATAAGAAATGAATCCCAGTGGAGATCACCTGCTGGAATAATCAGCGTTCATCTTTACATCATTACTCATCTTTGCTAGGTTTAAAATTTGTATTGAATATTTCACTTTTTCAAGGCAGATCTATCCTGTATGACTGTTAGAAAATGAAATATTAACTTTCACAGGTCATCTGGAGGTCCAAACTCCGCCTTTCCGGTGTGCCAGCAGCTTCGCCGGTGTGTGAATGGAGGAGAACCACGCTGACAGAAAAGTTCTGCAGCTTGGTGTTTGAGTAATGGCCTTTGATTGGCTGATAAAATAGTTCTGCTCTGTGATTGGTCACGAAGATACCCGCCTCTGGAAGGTTCCATTTTTCTGAGGGATGTTAAAAATTGACCAGAAAACATTTTATAGTTTTAAGGTGAAACATTTCCTCGTGTTGAGTGATATTTATGTAAAAACACCCAGGTATAGCAGTTTGGTGTTCCTGGTCGAGTGGGACTGACAGTGAGGCCGCGGCCTGGCCCCTTGCCGCGGCCTGCCCCCCTGCCAGCAGGTCGCTGCCTCCACTTGGCCTCCTGTCATCTCCCTGATCACTCCGGATCTGTTATTGATCAGGTTTTCGGGGCTGGAACGGGATCGTTCAGCCGCTTCCCTCTCTCTCTGAGCGCCGCTGGGTCTCGACAGAAGATGCTCCGTGTCCGGGTGCTGCTGGGCCGGTCCTGGAGGGGGTAAGTCCCGGCGCTGAACTTCACATGAGCGGACACGAGACTCCGGAGACTCCCAGGTGTTCAGATGATCACCTGACCCACTGACGCTTTCAGTAACTTTGTGGGGACAACAGGCGCCTTATTACGCGGTGCCGTTGAGCTTCAGGTGTGTTACCTAATGACACCTGATCTCCTGGTCCAGGTTGGTTCTGATCTCCTCTGCAGGACAGCTACTCCACTGCAGCTGCGCAGATTCTCAGCAGGAAACACGTGTTGGTGATTGTTTCATGGAAATAAGTTAAATACTGTAAAAACACCCGATTTACTTCTTTAATCTCTGGGGAGTAGAAACAGCGCAGATCAAAAAACAGCGCAAATTAAAGGAGTAGTTTGTAACTGTTACTGCCATCTAGTGGTCACAATAGAAATGACAACCTCGTTAAAAATCAAAATAAACGATGAAATTAATAAGTAGAACACACTGAAATTATACTTGCAATATTCTATGTTTTTATGTTTGACTATGTTTTAGCCTTTCAAACTAATGTGAAATAGATTTTTTTTTGCAAACACACAAGCAGTTTACGCCAGCTGGTGGCAAATGACCACCAGCTGGCTCTGCTCTTTAGGGGAGCCCTTTAGGGCCCTCTTTAGGGGAGCCCTGCACTGGAGAAAATGAAACATTTCACTAATAACAGCTAATAAAAACTGAATTAGACAAACAGTCACAATGAAATAAAACTATGCAATAATAAAAAACCCAAAAGAAGCCTGCTGCTCGGTCAGCCGCTTACATTTTTGGCCGCCATCTTTGTAGTATCCGCACTTTCCTCTGAGTTCTCCTCTGCTGCCCCCTGGTGACTATTTGGGGGAATTTTTTGACTAATTCTGTTTTCTGTTCATATATTTGAGTTCTGACTGTGTAACTAAAGTCAGACTCAACACTAGAAGAAGCTTGACCTTTGAACTGTCAACATGTCTAATGATTAAAACCATCTGGAGTTTAAACAGACAGGGAGTTTTTTTCCAAACATCATCAAATAAATATTTCAGACTCCGAGTCAGACTGGTTCTGCAGGTTCTGGTCTACTGAAACACCAGAACTGAAACCAGAACCGCTTCTAGAATTATTGATCTGGAAAGTCGATCACCTCCACGCAGAGGAGAGCTGCAAATGAAGCTGCTGTTCCAGCTGCTGTTCCAGCTGCAGCAGCGGCGCAGGGTGAAGGCCGGCCGGTTCTGGTGGGAAAGGCCCAGCTGGTTCTGGTTCCAGTCCCTCCTCCTCTTCGTCGGGTCAGGGTTCAGATTGCTGCTGTTAATCACAGCCGAGCCCAGGCAGCCGTCCAGCTGAGCCGCTCCGACCCGATCCGGTCCGATCCAGTCCAAAGTACAGAGAAGGAAAATGAGCAGAACAACAGAGTGAGTCTGAAAAACCCGACCCGGTTTAATCAGAGTAGAACCTGCTGGACAGAACCGAGTCCAGTCCGGGTTTTATTACTTAGTCGAAGGTTTGGTTCTGTGGGTTCTGGACAGGACACTGGAACAGAACCAGAACCGGTTCCAAAAGTTTATTTAAAAATCTGAAGGTTCTGACCCAAACCCGGCCCAAATCTGGTGTCTGAAAACAAAGTTCTGGTTCTGAAACGTCTAATAGAAACAAACTGGCCCAGAGAACTTTTAAGAAGCGGTCCAGAACCAGAAATGGGCCCGAAGAGGAGCTGAGTGTTTATTTATCAAGCATTCTGCAGAGATCTGGTCCAATCCAATTGGTTCTGTTCCGATCCGGGTTTAAGCTTCGCATCTACTGGGTCAGAAGAAGTCACAGCATCTGGGTTTCTGGTTCTGCTGTGACCCAGCGGGTCAGAACCAACGGTTTTCTGCTTCCAGGTTCCGGACGTTCCCAGGTTTGGCCGTGAAGAACGAACCTATCCTGGGCTTCGAGGCGGGGAGTCCAGAACGGGCCGAGCTGCAGAAGGTGGTGGTTCTCCAGGCCCGGTTTCTGATCCGTTTGGGCTGCTGGTGTTTTTAACCCTGCGCTGTGTCTGCAGGCGCTGGACGGCCTAAAGGGGCGGACAGAGGAGGTTCCCTGTGTGGTAGGAGATGAACTGGTTTGGACCAAAGACGTCCGGTACCAGCTGTCTGTGAGTCAGACACGGAACCACTTAAGGTTCTGGAGACGCGCCTCCTGACCTCTGACCTCTGTGTGTTTCTGTTTCCAGCCTTTCAACCACTCTCACAAGGTGGCAAAGTTCTGCTACGCTAACAAGGTATATTACCCAGAACCGGTAAACCCAGACAGTTTTGTTCAGAGACTTTAGAATTCATTTTATTTGTTGTGTTGTTTATTTTATTTGAATATTTAAAATTCAAAATAATTTGAATTATGTCAAATTATCTTGAAATAATTTGATTAATTCTGTTTCTGTCATATATTTGAGTTCTGACTGCGTAACGAATGTCAAATGGAAGTGAACATTTATTGATCTTCTTGCATAATTTTTGTCACATGACAATATCATCATTTATCGCCATAGCTTCTGGGTAAAACATGCACTCCGGTTCTGTCTCTTTAAATCCAGTCCATGACGCCACCAAGGCCGAACGTTTGAATTAGAGTTTAGATTTTTGGCCTTTTCTAGACCCGTCTAAGGCAGCGCTCACACAGCAGGAAATGACGTGCTTCATCTGCAGGTCGCTTTGGGTCAGAAGTCGTTACCACAAAAGTCTGATTGAATAGTTAGCATGAACAAACACGCAGAAGAGATCGGACACGACCGATAAATCGTAATCGAGCATCACGACCTGCTGAAGAATCGCAACCTAACTCCATCTTGGATCTCCTCCAGGAGCTGATCGATAAGGCCATCCAGGCATCGCTGGCGGCCCGGAGGGAGTGGGACCTGAAACCCGTCCGGGACCGGGCCCAGATCCTGTTCAAGGCTGCCGACGTCATCAGCGGGCCCAAGAGAGCCGAGATCCTGGCCAAGACTATGATCGGACAGGCAGGTGGCCCCCTGGAGGTCGGGTGACCCCCATGGAGTTCCGGTGACCTATGACCTCTCTCTGTCTGGTGTTCAGGGCAAAACAGTGGTCCAGGCGGAGATCGACGCCGCTGCAGAACTCATCGACTTCTTCCGGTTCAATGCCAAGCACGCCGTGGAGCTGGAGGCCCAGCAGCCAATCAGCACCAAGGAGAGCACCAACACTGCGCTGTACCGTGGGCTGGAGGTACAGTGTCATCATGCTTACTGGCTCCGTTTGGTTCTGGGTTTTCTGACCGGTTCTGGACCTGCCTGTATTTCAGGGCTTCGTAGCAGCAGTGGCGCCGTTTAACTTCACCGCCATCGGGGAAACCTGGCAGGAACACCTGCTCTCATGGTGAGTTCTGCAGGTCCAACCTACTTCAGAACCGCAAAGACTGGACTCTTGGCTTGGATTTGTGCCCTAATGACTTGGACTTGCACTCTAAATCTGTGTGCCCTGACCTGTAGAGCACTGACCTCTGACCCCTTGCATCCCAGGGCAACGTGGTTCTTTGGAAGCCCAGTGACACGGCGGTCTCGGCCAGCTACGCGGTCTACCGAGTCCTGCGCGACTGCGGCCTGCCGCCCAACATCATCCAGTTCCTGCCGGCCGACGGCCCCGTGTTTGGCGACGCCGTCACTTCCTCCCCGCACCTGGCAGGGATCAACTTCACCGGCAGCGTGCCGTAAGGACGCCCGACCCAACCGCCTCTGGCTCCGTTGCCGTTATCATGCCAACCACGTCTGTTTTGCCACTTGCAGGACCTTCAAGCGTCTGTGGAAGCAGGTGGCCCAGAACATAGACATCTACCGGACGTTTCCCCGCCTGGCCGGAGGTGAGTGGTGACCCATCCTTCAGCTCCCGGTTCTGGTTCTGGTTCTGACCCACTATGTGTCGCCAGAGTGCGGTGGAAGAACTTCCACTTTGTGCACTCGTCTGCGGACGTCCGGAGCGTGGTGTTGGGGACGATCCGCTCAGCCTTCGAGTACGGTGGCCAGAAATGCTCGGCCTGCTCCAGGATGTACGTTCCCGATAGCAGCTGGCCGCAGATCAGAGAGCAGTTGTTGGAAATCCTCAAGGACGTCCGAGTGGGAGACGTGAGTGACCTCTGACCCTTGCAGGGTTTAGAGTGTGAGATCAGACCCAGAGTGAGGACTAACCGGATGTTTCTGACCCTCAGCCTGTCGAGGACTTCAGCACTTTCTTTTCTGCCGTTATAGACGATAAGGTAAACCTCGTTAACTCGTTAAGACTCCACATTAGCTCTGTGGCTAATCTGTCCCTGTGGCTCCGCCCTCTCCAGTCCTTCGCTAGGATCAAGAGGTGGTTGGACCACGCCAAGTCCTCCTCGAACCTCAGCATCATCGCTGGAGGAAACTGTGACAATAGCAAAGGTTACTTTGTGGAGCCGACGATCATTGTGACCAAAGACCCTCGGGACCCAATCATGAACGAGGTCAGAATATTTAACTGAATATTTAACCCCAAATAAAGATTGTATTTAATTAAATATATTATTCCAAGTTAAGCATTTAATTTCCAGATTAAATTTTCAAAGAAATGTTGAGCTCAGAACTAAATATTTAGCATAGTAGCTAAATACAGATGAGTTAGTTTGCTAGCTAAATATTTATTAGCAGGCTAGCATGCTAACAAAATATTTCGGTGACTGGAGAGACTTATCTGTGAAGCTTCAAGGAGATCTGATGACACATGGGTGACATGGCCTTCTGGAGGTCATGACCTTGTGTTTGTGGTGTTTCCAGGAGATCTTTGGGCCGGTTCTGACCGTGTACGTCTATCCAGAGAAGAACTACGCTGAGGTTCTGCAGCTGGTTGATAACACATCACCATACGCTCTGACCGGATCCGTGTTCGCCCATGACCAGTGAGATAGTTTCTCTTGCATATGTTTGTTGTCCATTGTCAACGGAGATGGGCTGAAAGTTGTGTGGATCAACTTTGGTTCTGGTTCTGGTTCTCCTGAGCTTCCTGGAACAAACCAGCAGGAAAGTTCTCATGTTCTGGACCACCTATTTGTGTCCGGTTCTGGTTCTGGTTCATGGGGTCTACTCCTGTCTGTCACCTGAGAGCAGAACCAGTGGATCTCTGAGAATCAGAACTTTAGAGTTCTATCAACGGATCAGAACCCTGAGCTCAGTCCAGGTTCTGGTTTCAAACTGGTTTAGTTGGTCCACCCAGTTCCTACAACTGGACCAGTAAAGAGCTGGAGCTGATTAGCTCTTGGTAGCAGAACCAGGATCGTGTTACAGGTTCTGTTGTGTATGATGGGTTCAATCCTGGTTCTGACCCAGACTGAGTCACACCTGTTGGTTCTGCAGGAAGGTGATCAATGAGGCCGCCAGAGTCCTGAGGAACGCCGCCGGGAATTATTACGTCAACGATAAGTCCACTGGATCCATTGTGGCCCAGCAACCGTTTGGAGGAGCCAGAGCTTCAGGTGGGTGGGGACGGTTCATCCAACATGGACGGACGGACGGATGGATGGATGGATGGATGGATGGATGGATGGATGGATGGATGGATGGATGGATGGATGGATGGATGGATGGATGGATGATCACTCACTGTCTACCTGTTGCTCCAGGTACCAACGATAAGCCCGGCGGTCCTCACTACGTCCTGAGGTGGACGTCTCCTCAGGTGGTGAAGCAGACTCATGTTCCCCTCACAGAGTGGAAGTACCCATATATGGGCTGAGGGACACCTGTCCAATGTCCTCTGCCCCCAGTCCATCCAGTGGTCCACTCATCAGTCCTCCGTCTCTCTGACTCTCCATCCGTCCTTCATCTCTGACCTCCTCTTCCTCGCCGTCCTCCTCTGTCTGTCCCTCTGAAGCTGGACAGGTCTGTCCATCAGATGGAGAGACAGTCTGTCTCTGCATCTCACTCAGACGTCCACAAACCAATGCTTGTCTCAGAATCCCAGCTGGAAGCTTCATGTGATCCACCAGAAATCGGATCAGAACCGCCAATGGACTCAATTCTGTTTGTAACTAATAAGATTAAATCTGAGGTCCGTCAGAGCAGGTACTGGTCATCCTGCAGGTCATCCTGCAGGTCATCCTGGAGGTCATCCTGCAGGTCATCCTGAAGGTCATCCTGCAGGTCAGTGATTTGGAGCTGAAGGTCGTTAAATATGTCGGGTCCTGCTGAGTAGATGATGAATATGCGCGTGTGTGGAGACGTTTCCTCCCAGATCTGGATGCTAACTCATGACCAAGTCTGTCAGTGACTCTGGACATTCAGATGTTTGACAATAAATCATTTCTAACAATCAGCAGCTGGTGATCTACTTCTTTATGTTCCTTACAGGTGTGTGTGTGTGTGTGTGTGTGTGAACATGACAGCTGCAGCAGCTCCACATGTAGAGACATGAATGTGATCCCAGCATCCTTAAAACTGATCAGCAGATCTGCCCAAGTCACCCAAAACCTCCAGATGTAAAATTATTTTTTGTAAATTAACTCTGGCAGAATAGCAGATGAAGCATGCTGCTGCTGCTAACATGCTTCTCAAATATAAACCAGTGAACAAATTCCTGCATGTTCTCTAACATTAGTCCAGAAGAACTTTAAAATAGTTTATGCTTGGTTTATTGCTGAGTAGGTAAAAAAACAAAACAAAAAAAAAAACATCCTTTGTGACTTTAGTTTTTAAAAATTATATATTTTGGTGTATGAATACTTTTGAGCAAATAATTTTGGCCCACATGACAAAAATGTTGCAGATCCCCTTGTCTAAAACAAATTATTAGAGAAAAGTAGAACTGAAAAAAGTGGACCACATGTCCTCACTTCCCACTGTGACCTCAATTTACGGGTGGAAGGGTTGTAGTGGTCCTCTAAATGCACTGAATACAAGAACAAAGAGATTCAGAGTGAAACTACTTAAGTTTGTTTCTGAGGAGGTCACACAGGGCCGGCCCAAGCCTTTCGGGGGCCCTGAACAAATTCTCATTTGGGGGTCCCCATGCCAACAGGTCAAAACCAGATTGTCATCATTCCTCAGCTGAGTAGATTCACATACTTCCATTATTTATTTAACTTATTCTTTTACATTATTTGTAATTTCACACTTGTGTTTTATATTTTCATATTGTTATATTTATATTCAAATTTAAAAAAATTCCATGTGTGACAGCATTTAGTTGTATTCTTCAATGTTATGTTTAATATAATAGATATTTGCTCTTGGCTGCCCCCTAGTGGTGTGGGGGCCGTAACCCTTCTTCTTGTCATATCCGAGACTGAGATTCAGAACTGGTTCATGTAAAGTCACTTGAGGAAGAAGTTGAACTTCCTGTCGCTACCGACTGACCTCAGATCAGACGTCTCTCTGAGCACCTTAATGAGAGCTTCCGTCCTCACCTGCAGACTGGGATCAGTGCAGGTGAGTGTCAGGTTGCAGGTGTGTGTGTAAACAGTCATCAGCGTGTGCGGTGCCAGCAGACGTGTGATGACAGGAAGGGTGTGTGTGTCTGACGCCTTTCATCTGGAATATCAGGATTTAAGGAGAGGAAACTGCAAACACTCATTCTGTGAAGCAGGCTGCTTTGATGTGAACATCACTCCAACTGGGACACACTGCGAGACACTGGGAGGACTGGGAGACACTGGGAGATACTGGGAGGACTGGGACACTGGGAGATACTGGGAGGACTGGGAGACACTGGGAGATACTGGGAGGACTGGGAGACACTGGGAGATACTGGGAGGACTGGGAGACACTGGGAGATACTGGGAGACACTGGGAGATACTGGGAGACACTGGGAGATACTGGGAGGACTGGGAGACACTGGGAGACACTGGGAGATACTGGGAGGACTGGGAGACACTGGGAGACACTGGGAGATACTGGGAGGACTGGGAGACACTGGGTGACACTGGGAGGACTTGTCAGTACCAAAGTTGAGGTCAGAAAAAAACCTCCAAAAAATCTGTTTGGTTTCCAACCTGATACACACACACACACACACACACACACACACACACACACACACACACACACACACACACACACACACACACACACACACACACACCTGTGAGGGCGGAGCTTCAGCAGGTAAAGTCGGATCTTTCCGTCCTGAACTCAGAGACCCAGAGGAACTGAAGGAGGATCTGCTGCAGCTCCATCTGAAGGTGAGACACCAGGCGGTTCTGTGAGGTTCTATGAGGTTCTGTGAGGTTCTATGAGGTTCTGTGAGGTTCTATGAGGTTCTGTGAGGTTCTATTTATATTTAGCAGGACAAACCAATCATTTGGTTCTGATTTGCATTGTATTTCTGAGGTAATCTTTCCTAAATGAAATGCTTTTGATTTGGGTTCAGATGAGCTTTAAAATGTTTCAAAGGTTCTGGAGAGGAACCAGCAGGTTCCTGGTGAAACAGTTTTGGGTTCTGGTTCTGTATAGGAATTCCAGATTTCTGACTGGAAACTAACAATTCCAATTTTGGCTGATGCTGATTTGTTTTGTCTGAAATGTAAAATATAGGCAGAAAGTTGCTGTATTGGAAACAATGGCTGATTTTTAGACCTGAATGAGATCGGCTTGGCGCTAAAGTATCGGCTGATCGCCGATCTCCCAGAATGACGATTTATCAGTGCATCCTCGTTCTGTAGATGCTCATTCTTTTAGTTTATCACACAATTTACTGATTTATTGTGGGAGGCATAGATGTGGGTCTCGTTTGGGCGGAAAAAACGCATCGTCGCGTTTATCCGCTTTGTGATGGTAATCTTCTCCTCCTCGGAGATCAGGTCTGCCCCCTGGTGGAGAAGCCAAAAACTGATCTCTCTGTCTCTTCACAGGTGACCATCATGAAGCTTCTCTGAACAAGCCAGGTGTCCTCATCCCTGATTGGTCCATTGCACGATGAGCTCCGCCTTCTCTCAGTCGCTCTTCGACCGTTTCGCTGGGTCGCCCCCTGCTGGACGGGAGGACCGGAGCAGGACTCAGCACTCAGAGTCTCTGTCCGCCTCCGTCCCCTTCCTGTTCTACCCCCCTGCTGTGGACCCCGCTGCCCTCAGCCTGTACAAGGGGCCCCTGAGGGGCCCCTCCGGCATCCTGCCCTACCTGTCCCCCTTCCACCACCATGGGCACTTCAGCGTCTATGAGTGTCCGTTCGAGCCTGCGTTCATCCAGAAGCGTAACGAGCGAGAGCGGCAGCGCGTCAAATGCGTGAATCAGGGCTACGCCAAGCTGCGGGACCACCTGCCGGGCCACAGCGCCGACAAGAGGCTCAGCAAGGTGGAGACGCTGCGCGCCGCCATCAGGTACATCAAGTACCTGCAGAGGCTGGTGGACATGGAAGAAGACGGGCGTGAAGGGGCGGAGCCAAGCAGTGGGACGCCTTTTGGCCCGGACAAGGGCGGAGAGATGCAGGCATGTTGAATGGCCGGTTCACCTGGACGACCAATCAGAGCGCAGACCACAGAGGGAGGACGTCAGCGACGCTAGATTGTAAACCTCCAGAGGACAGATCCTAAATGGACAGCGCCACCTGCAGTTTGTTCCTGAAAGTCTGATGGGGAATCAGGGAGGGTCAAACCAGCTCTTTACGGACATTTCCAGCCACCGTAGAGCAGCAGATACTTCAATATTTGCAAAACCTTTTCACGTGTGGATCCAACAACTTGGCACAGATGTTGCTAAGGATCAGCTTTTTGTAAAAAAAAAACAAAACACGGACAAATTTAAGATGGCGGACTTTTTTCAAGATGGTTGCCATGAAAAATAACTTTTGTACTGAAATTGCCAATTAAATTAACATGTTTGGTGTTAGATCTCAACATCATACGTATTTTCTTGAATTTATGTTTGCTTTTTCAAAATGGCTGCCATAATTTTAATAGAGAATATAGGTTTGCACTTAAATTGGCAAAAAAGTAATAGCTAGTGAAGGGCACACCTAATCAAAGACTTAGACTCACTAACTTGATTAACAAGAGTCTTAACTTCACTAGTGCTAACCACATGTAAAAATGCTACCCTGCCAGACACGTTAAACATTAACCATTAAGATGACTGTCTCTCATCTTCTTTCCTTCCTGGTGATGACTGTTGTGAGACTCCTCAGTTTCTGCTTTTACTATATTGTATAAATATGATGACCAAAATCGAAAACATGTCATATAATATAAAGTTCATGCAAGTCATGAAAATGACTTGGAAATTAGTTTAAAAAGGTCAAAAACGGCAGCCATCTTGAAAAATTGTGTTCCTCCTAAAACTCAAGTGGCTGATGGGAAATATGAGAACCGTACGATCTGAGGGGGTGAGCAACACTTTATGCTTGTATCCACACTTGAACTATTTTTACAGCAACATGCTGCAGTCATCGTAGGTCAGGAATCTGTAGTGAATGTAGTTTTGTTTTATCACCACTAGGTGTCACTAGGTGCCACTTTCAAAATTAAAATGGGTCAAAAGTACAAAACAATAAGTTAATTATTAACAAATGTATTAAAATGTGAATTTGTGCTTCACATTCATGTGGAGTAACTATAGTATTTATAGCAGGAGTCTCTAACTCCAGGTCTCCAGGTGTCCTGCAGGTTTCAGATGAGCCACAGGAACAAAACGCTGGAATGAAACGGCTTCATTTCCTCCTGGTGTGGATCGGATCTCCAGAGCCTTAATGACTCTTTATTCCTTTCCGCTGCAGCAGCAGAGGCTCGGCTAGAAGTTTCAGGACACCCTGCGGCCCTTGAGGACTGGAGTTTGAGACTCTTGATTTATAGGTATTTTCTATTTCTACATGACATCAGAAAAACATAATTGTGATATTATAGCTGGATATTATGAATAATTCACATTTATATATTTTTTCATTTTCTATGAGCTATAACTTCTCACCACTAGGAATAAACTAATGCTGGCATCAAACACGGGTATTTGTTTAAATATTCATGCCTGTAGATCATATTTTGGTGTGATAGTGGCAGCCATAGCTATAAGCTTCAGATATATTCTGTTTTTTCAGCCTGGTGTATGTCGCTTCAGGCTCATAATACAGACATTTATAGTGTTTTGTATCATCTTAAAGGAAATCCTCTTGGCTTTCATGTGAGCCACCCTTTGAGTCTCTCTGATCGACATGCAGGTCACTGAAGCTCTTGAAAACAAAACAATGGTACAAATTTGTTCCTCCAAGACTTTAGTCATTTCTTTAGGAGGGGATTTCCCACAGCAATCTTCTGAAACATAAAATGCTTAGGACAACACAAAGTTTGCTTTTATCAGCCAGCCGTTCTTTTGCTTTGATTTTCATTTTGAAGTAAGCTATGCCACAAACATCCAATAAAATGTATTAAGGAACAGACTTGGCCACACCCGTCAAGAGTCTTCAGAATTTAATTTTTGATGATGGGGGTAAATTACTGTAAAAAATATTTTATAGACGAATATAATATCAAACAATTAACCTAAAAAGTGAAGTGAACTTTTAAGGCAAGTGATAAACATTACATGGTTATTGTATTACTGTGCAGATGGAAAAGTACGGATCCCTCTAGGGGACATTGCACATTTATTTTTCTTTTGCTTTACCTCGCAAAACCGTTTTGAAATAATTGACATTACTTCTGCATTTTTAATCGGGGGGATTTTGTGGGCGCACAGTGTGTGGATGCTGCGGTCAGGGTTCACACTGCCGGACCAATGGAATCGGTTCTGATCTTATTACCTGGTTCCTCGCTGTTTAGGCCCAGTTTGTTCGCTATAAACAACAGTAGAACTTTATACTTACATAAACGTCATGATGATGAATGCAGGCTCTCTCTGGTTTTATTAGTTTTCCAGTACACTTGCAGTTTTTCCACTTGGGCTACCGCTACGTTTGAAGCTTCCGGTTTCTGGTCTGAGTACTTCCTGCTTTAGCTGCAATACCACCGGCATCCACTACAAACATAAAACCTCTAAATTTAAAATAAGTTATGTCAATAGATATACGAAGCAGAAATAAAAATATTTCGGATTTAAAGAATAAAAATATATGTTCATTTTCCTGGTAAATTGTTGAACTACGGGTTCCCAGCTAACCTGAACGCAACATAGCATCTAGCACAAATAAGACAGGACTCCGATTCTGATCATCAGCGATTATTTATTAACTCATTGTTATCTGGGGGGAGATGGAGCAGCAGAGCTCCAATCAAACTACGAGTTAGAAAAATAAAACCTTCCTCTAATTAAAATAACACCAAAGATCCTGATCAAATAGGGAGGTTCACTCTGATTAATATTATCAGTCCTGAACATGATGGAGCACATTCTGCTTCCTGCACTGAGATCTGTTGATTGTCCCATTCAGCTGCGGGTCAGTGAATGCACCAGGAGACCACTGCAGGTGACTCAACCTCTCAGTGTCCAGCAGATCCAGTCGCTCTAAAAATAAAGGTGATTTAACAACAAACACCTGTGGATTTTAATAATCAAACCGATCATCAGACGAGCCTCCAGAACCAGTCAGAACCAGTCAGAACTGGTTCTCAGTGAGTCTGGCGTTAAACTGATTAGAATACATTTGGGATTCAGAACTGAGAAATAAATTCAGTTTGAATTAAAATATTGTTAGAACCTCAGAATTCCCACACTCTCTCAGACCCTGAAGGCAGCGGCTAGTGGTTGCTATGGAAACTAACCCCATAGTGCAGGTTCTGCTGCCTTCAGGCCCGCTTGGAGAGCAGGAACAAGACCAGAACCAGAACCAGAACCAGAACCAGAACCAGACCGGACCCAAGACCAGAACCGGACTGAACCAGAACCAGAACCAGACCGGACCCAAGACCAGAACCGGACTGAACCAGAACCAGAACCAGACCGGACCCAAAACCAGAACCGGACTGAACCAGAACCAGACCGGACCCAAAACCAGAACCGGACTGAACCAGAACCAGAACCAGACCGGACCCAAGACCAGAACCGGACTGAACCAGAACCAGACCGGACCCAAGACCAGAACCGGACTGAACCAGAACCAGAACCAGACCGGACCCAAGACCAGAACCGGACTGAACCAGAACCAGAACCAGACCGGACCCAAAACCAGAACCGGACTGAACCAGAACCAGACCGGACCCAAAACCAGAACCGGACTGAACCAGAACCAGAACCAGACCGGACCCAAAACCAGAACCGGACTGAACCAGAACCAGAACCAGACCGGACCCAAAACCAGAACCGGACTGAACCAGAACCAGACCGGACCCAAGACCAGAACCGGACTGAACCAGAACCAGACCAGACCCAAGACCAGAACCGGACTGAACCAGAACCAGAACCAGACCGGACCCAAGACCAGAACCGGACTGGATCAGAACCAGAACCAGACCGGACCCAAGACTAGAACCGGACTGAACCAGAACCAGACCGGACCCAAGACTAGAACCGGACTGAACCAGAACCAGACCGGACCCAAGACCAGAACTGGACTGAACCAGAACCAGAACCAGACCGGACCCAAGACTAGAACCGGACTGAACCAGAACCAGACCGGACCCAAGACCAGAACCGGACTGGATCAGAACCAGACAGGATCTGTCTGAACGATGAGCGCCTCCTGCTGAACATTTAACACCTCAGCGATGCCGAGCAGCACCAGAACACGGACTCTTCTTCTTTGGTTTTAATGGGCCAACTGGTTCTGCTTCTCGTTAAGCAGCTCGTTAACACACCTGCTCAGGCTTTAATTGGAGCCCGAATCCTTAAAAGAAACTTTTAATTGGCAACAGACTGATTTTAATAAAGTCAAAATATTCCTTCAAACGTTGGACCTGCTGGTCAGAGCAGAACCAGCGGAACCAGAACCAGCAGGTGGCGGGGCTCAATGCCAGGCCACTGACTGGCTGTGTAGTGATTTGGTGAAAGCAGCAGCTATTCGAGGTCCGACCTGCGCTCCGGAACCGGGTCGGAACCGGGCCCGGGTCAGGAGTCAGAGGGGGCCGAGAGTCCCTGGTAGACCCGGTGGCGGTGCGCTGGCGCCAGGCAGAACCCGATGCTGCGCTCCACTTCCTGGCAGCGGCGGCGGAACCGGCAGCGGTCCCGGGCCAGCTCCTCCCACGGGCCGCGCCGGTCCTCCTCCTCACCGCAGCTGGCGAAGAACTCCTCCACCTCGTCACAGAACCGGACCTGTGGGGGCAGGGTCAGAGGTCACTGAATGGATCACATCCAGAACCAGCTGAAGACAAATCAATGATCCGATTCTGGTCCGCTCCGCCTCCCTGCAGCATCGCCGAAACATTCTGGGCCAAAACATGAAGCTGAACCCATTAGAGGTCAGAACACCGCGAACCAGAACCTTTAACCTGTAATTCTAACCCAATAGTCTGGACCTCTGCTGAACCTGAAGGTTCTGATGACACCTTCAGAACCTTCTGTGTGGCTGTGAGGTACAGAACTGTAGCCAGAGACATTTTAACCCAGTTCTGGTAAAGTTGGGCCAGGTCCAATTAGAAATAAAATGAGGAAATGTCCCTGAACTGTGACGTTTCTACACATTTACCGTAAAATGATTGTAACTGAAAACACGACTTGTGGCCTGAGAGTTTTAATTCTGGCCCTCCATGTGAAAACTTCGCCCACCAGAGTTGCACAGATTTCAGTTTTCTGGCCGATCTTTAGAAACTGTCTGCCGATTCGGATCTGTTTTGTCTGAAATGTTGCAAAACGGTTCTCTAAAGAGAACAGCGGCTAGTTTTAGACCTGAAGGTTGGAGGGTGTGTAAACATCAGCCGATCCCACAAAATGAAGGAAATTGGCCCGATTTATCGCTCAATTCCTGCTGGACACCAAACTGAAACCTTCTGGGTTCCCCCAGCAGTGTTCTGCTAAAAGAGGTTCTGGTTCTGAACCCAGCAAGCAGGAAGTGAGGTAACCGACCTTCTTGGTGCTCCGGTTGGAGGCAGCGGCCTCAGCGAAGCCGCTGTCCAGCCTGTCCTCGGCCTCCTCCCTCCTGTACTCGGGTGGCGCCGCCAGGTTCTGGTGGGCGGTCTGTGGGCTGCTTCTGCTCCTGGTTCTGGAGGGGGGCCCGGCGGGCCCTTGAGTCCTGAGCGGAGCCTGGAAGTTCAGGGGGCTGTAGGGGTCCAAGGAGCTGCTGAAGGAGCGCAGCAGGCGGAGGCTCTCCGCCTCATCCGCCTCGCTGGCCGACGCCGAGTCGTCCCAGGTGTCCTGGCTGGAGGGGGGAGAGGAGGCAGCATGGAAGGGCACGGGGTCAGGGAGGGCGGCGCCGGGGTCAGCAGGAGGGCAGCGGCCGGTGTGCAGCGAAGCGGTGAAGCTCTGCGGGTTGTAGGGGTCGACGCTCCGGCTAAAGGAGCTCCAGAGACGCTCCGAGTCCTGGTCGGGTTCGCTGTCCGAGTCCGACGCCTCATCATCCTCATCTTCATCAGAGGTTAGATCTGAGGAACCTTCGCTGTCAAACCCGTCATCATCATCAGAGCCAGACTCAGACAGGCTGCTGCTGTCGTCGTCACTGCAGGGCAGCCCCATGATGAAGGCGATGGATTTGTTTCCACACTGAGGCGTTAAAAGAACCTCCTCTGCCCCTGGTTCTGGTTCTTCTGGTACCGGCTCCATCTGAGGCTGCTGCTCTTCTGGAGGGCTCCTGGTGGCCCGCTGGGTCAGCTCCTCCTCCAGGCTGTGGTAGCCCTGGTCTTGTTCGGGTCCAGGCCGAGCCGCCATGTTCTGGACTGTGTCTGCATTGTTGAGCTGCTGGGGGGGTCCAGAGCTTTCTGGGTCAGGTGGGCGGTTTGTTTGGGACTCTGCCCGCTCCGGTTGGACGTCCCCCCTCCACAGAAAGCTGCCCCACCACGGCCCGCTCTTTCCGGCGGGGCTCACCGCCCAGGCCTTCCCTCCAGCGGCCTCCTGGGAGCCCAGCAGCGCCCGGACCGAGGAGAGGTACCCGACCTGCGGCTGGAGCTCCGTCCCGACATGCCGCACCGGCACCGCGCTCAGCCAGGGCACAGAGCCGGCGAACCCCGGCTCCAGCAGGCCGCCTGCTCCGTCATGTGGACACTGCGTGAAGCTGAGATGATGCGGGATTATTTCATTCAGCTGCCGTAAAATCTCCCTTTCCTCGCCGATAAAACTGTTGCTGAGCTCCGCGGGAGCCGCGCTCCAGCGCCGAACCTTTCGCAGTAGCGACAGCGCGGGCCTCGAGGAGGCCGATCCACGAGCTTTCCTGGCTGTCAAATCCCACCGAGGCGACGCCGAAAGGGGCAGATGAAGGCGCGCTCTGGCCGTCAGATAGACGTCCTTCAGTGTAAAAGTTTCTGAACATGTTGTTTCGTTAAAGGGGAGTAAACAGGCCAGCTGCTAATCTGACAGCTGTGAAACACTTAGAAACCAGCAACGCTGCGCGGAAACCAGGAAATATCCTCCAGAAAACCGGCGTCAGACTCGAAATGGTGCTGGGACTTCTTCCGTGTGGAACCAGAGTTGAAATACAGAGCCAGGCAGGACATGTTGGATCCGTGAAACGGCGACTGGTCTCCGTCTAAGCAGCGGAAGAGATCCATGTTGTCCGGTTCCGACTGCGGAGAGCCGCGGGAGGTTAGGCTAGTTAGCACGCTAAGCTACGTAGCACGCTAGCTTAGCACAAGCAGCTAACTGACAGTTTGTTCTCCGCGGAGGAACCCTTTAAAACTCGCTCAGATGAACACCTTCACCCGCTGTAGATGTCACTTCTGTCCTCCGGTCGGTAATACTGCTCGATGTCCGTCCACCAGGGAGGTGAAGCCGCCGGGAAGCTGATTTGTCTGTCTGCCTCTCCGGCGAGAGATTTCATCAGAAAGTCCGCGGACCGTCCCTTCCTTTTCCGGTAAGCGGCAGGCGCGGCGCGCAGCCGCGCGGCAGATGTATCCGCGCGTTGCTTTGCATAAAGCGCTGGAAGGTGTGAGTGCCACGTGCTGAGGAGCGCGAGGACCCCATAAAGGTCAAAGGTAACAGGTTTAATGTTACAGAGGTACAAGTAGGAGGCTGAACCCGGTTAAAAGGTTCTGTTCGGGTAAACGTTACTTCCTGCTCCAGACTGGACCGGACTCTGATCTGTGATTCAACATTTATGACTGAATACATTCCCAGATAAATCAGGAAAAAAAACCAAACCAAGATGCATTTTTCACTTCAAGTTTATTGTTCTTAGTGCAAATAATAAAAAAATCCAGGTAAAGAAACTTCTCACATTTTTATGTTCAAGGTTCGGTTTGATGAAGCTGCGGCCGGAAGCTGCTCAGGTGGGCGGGGCTTCTACTGATCGAGACTCACTGCTCTCACCTGTACCAGGTTCTTCTTTATCAAACCAAGGGCACAATTCATTCTAAAGGTTTGTCTCATGTATATGGAGGGTCACATGGTTACACTGACAGCTTCAGTTGTCATGGTAACAGGCCCAACAACCGCCCAGAGGCCCGGCATCCCGGAGGCCCGGCGTCCCGGAGGCCCGGAGGCCCGGCGTCCCAGAGCCCCGGCGTCCCAGAGCCCCGGCGTCCCAGAGCCCGGCGTCCCAGAGCCCCGGCGTCCCGGAGGCCCGGCGTCCCAGAGCCCCGGCGCCCCAGAGCCCCGGCGTCCCAGAGCCCCGGCGTCCCGGAGGCCCGGCGTCCCAGAGCCCCGGCGCCCCAGAGCCCCGGCGTCCCAGAGCCCCGGAGGCCCGGCGTCCCGGAGCCCCGGCGTCCCAGAGCCCCGGAGGCCCGGCGTCCCGGAGCCCCGGCGTCCCAGAGCCCCGGAGGCCCGGCGTCCCGGAGGCCCGGCGTCCCGGAGGCCCGGCGTCCCGGAGGCCCAGAGGCCCGGCGTCCCGGAGGCCCGGCGTCCCAGAGCCCCGGCGTCCTGCTTGCCTGAGTCTCTCCCAGGTACTAACAACCTTTCCAGCAGGTCAGAGTTCAGAGTTCTTAGGCCTCTAATGAGCCATCATTGGGTCCAGGTGCCTTAAACCAGGGAGAGACTAAAACATGCAGGACGCCGGGCCTCCGGGCCTGCAGGACCCACGCCGGGCCTGCAGGACCCACGCCGGGCCTCACTGTGCTCCCTGTGTGCTTGGAGCTGGGAAACCCACAGCTGCAAGCAGAGCTTTTTTATCCAGAGCTTGTTTGGCAGCTTCAGCCAATCAGAGCTCAGAGCTGAGGAACGCCCAATCACACTCTGTCGCCTGCTGGACCCAGTCCTGCAGCTGCCACATTCATCTGGTCTACAGCGCTAAAACAGAGAAACCGTCCCAGAAGGCCATAAAACGGTCCAGTAATTCAGTCATTCACCAGCTTGTTCCCTAGAGAAATGCTCCCAGTTCCTGCATGTTCTCTGTTAAAAGTCCAGCTCATTATTCGACGGTTCTGAGCAGAACCAGAACCACTCAGCAGCAGATCCATCATTGTAGTCCAGCTTCAAACTGACATAAAAATCATCTCAAATGTTCTTGATAGAAAACTGCCACAGTCCTCAAATCTACAGCAGCTTTTATTTTGAAAGGACATCCCTTTGCTTCCCGTCTGTCAGTGGGCGGAGTCTGAGCCGGTCGGATCCAGGCGGTGCCAGTCGACCCAGTGCTGATCCGGGACCAGCCTGGTCAGGGAGATGAAGGTCTCCCCAGCAGCGTGTTCTCCCAGAAGGATCCGTCGCTCAGAACCCTCAGGTGGATCACCCTCTGGTCCAGGTCCCCCCGCGGGATCCGATCGTACACCAGCTGGGGACACGCACACACACACACACACACACACACACACACACACACACACACACACACACACACACACACACACACACACACACACACACACACACACACACACACACACACACACAGCCAGGTTGATGCTACTGGTTCCTGACGGTCCTCTGGGTGGGACAGGAAGTGAGCCTCACCATCTCGTTGTAGGTGGGGTTACAGGTGCGCCGCGCTGCCTTGGTCTTCCTCTTGCCCGTCTTCTGGGGGTCTGGCAGCAAGTAGAGCTTCACGTATGGGTCCGGGTCGGTGCCGTCCTGGAGGGGCTGCTGCACAGAGATGCACCAGAACAAGGCCGGTTCAGTCCAGGTTTCAGGCCTGCAGCCAATCAGGGGCCAGGAACACCTCTACCAATTTTTTTCCTATGTTTATTAGTAGCTAGTGCAAATTCTGTCATCTTTTGCTGGTTGGTGTTAGCTTGTACCAATATTTTACGTTTAGTGCTTTAGTGTTAAGTTGCAGTTATTTCTTACGTTTATCTGTACACCATTAACTTGCACAAAATTCTATGTGTTTAGCAGTTCAGTACTACTTCATGCTAATTTTATTTAACTGTACAGGTTTTAGTAGTTTAGCGTTGGTGAGGTTTGGTCTGTTGTTTAGTGAATTAGTGGTGAGTCAACCTCATTCTTTGCTCAACCTGGCAACAAGTTCAGCCAATTTTACATACATTCTGCATTATCTTGAAAATGTTAATCAGCTAAAGGATCAAGAAAACGTAAATGATTCCTATTGAGATTTGACACCAAACACATTCATGGAATTGAGATCTTAGTCCAAAAATTAACTAATTAATTAACAATTTTATCATGACAAACATGGTGGCCGTCTTGAAAAATCCACAGAATATCAGTTAAAATCATTCCTATGGGCCCAACTTTGCTGGACTCGACACTGAAAGTCTTCATCAGAACCCAACAGAACCTGAAATCAGAACCTGGGTTTGGTACTGACCAGGCCTCTGATGTGGATCACCATGATGAACAGCTTATCGTTCTTGTAGGAAATGGACAGCTTGACCTCTCCGAGCGCCGTTCCTGCAGCTGGAGACCATGACACCTCTGCAATGCACACACAGCAGGAAGTCTCTGTTACCATGGTGACCACAGGTGTCCGTCCAATCCTGGAGCTGCAAGGGAACGTACCTGCAGGTTTGCTGCTGCCTCCTGCGGTTCGTTCGTCTCTGGACAGAGGGTGGAAGAAGGTGTAGACCAGATCACACTGAAACACACACACATCATGTGTGACAGCAGAGATCCGGCTGACAGGTCCATCAGAACCCTGCAGAACCTCCACAGATAAACAGAACATCTGCTGCGTCCTGATAGGACGCTCACACCCACTCTGACATGGAGCCACATTCTTCACACCGCAGCAAGTTTCTGTAAAATCCTTCAGGTGTGAAAGAGCATAAACGTCACTCCAATTTCAGGATGACAGCCATTTTTAAAGATGGCTGCCATTTTCTGAGCCTTTTAAATCAACTGTTGCTATAAAATCTAACCCATTTTCACGACTTGGATGAAATTTCTGTCACATGTTTTTGACTTTGGTTACAATATTCATACAAATTTGAAGTAATAAAATGCAAAAGCAGAAACCAGTCTGTTAACCATCATCATGGTTAACATCTTTAGATCCATTTATTGTTTCAGTGTTAGTTATGATCCAAATATAAAAGATTTTGCTGAAATATTAAATTATGTGAAGCATTACTACAGCAGCCTGGACTGCAGCCCCGACCCACCTGAGCCACCTCCGGCGCCGCGTGGATCAGGTGCCACACGTAGCCGTTCAGCTCATCCTTCCTCCGGTCCGCCGTCGCCTCGCTTCGGGAACGGCCAATCACAAAGCGGCTGGGGAAACTGGGCGGGGCCAAGATGACAGTTAGAACCTTTAACCCAGCTGGGTAAGCGGGGCGGGCGGGGCCCGGAGGGTACCTGGGCAGCTTGGAGGAGGGGAAGACGAGCCGCAGTTTGCTGTGAAGTTCCTGGAACTCCTCGAAGGTCCTCTGAACCAGCTGCACCTCCTGCTGAGCGTCACGCTCCACCTTCACCACAAACGCCTGGAGGCCCAGAGAGAGACAGGCGGCGGCGCGTCAGACAGGCGGCGGTGACGGACATCATGATTCATTTTATTTGTTGTTTTATTTATTTTACATATTTAAAATGTCTTCCAGTTCCACTGTTAAATGTTCAATATTAAATTTTATTGACCTTTGATAAAGTGTTTTTTAATTATTATACCATTACTATCATATTACTGGAAAATGTTCTCACAACAACAAATAAAGAAGTTATCACAATTTATGATCCAGTAACGTTTATTATCATGACGGGCATAACTATAACAAATAAAAACTAAACAATATTTAACCAGTACGAACTAATGAATACTAACAAACACAATCTAAAAACTAATCAAAACTAACTGAATTAACACAAAGTCACAACAAAATAAAACTAGCTTAGAGTGAGTCGGTGCCTGGCGGTCGGTGCCTGGCGGTCGGTGCCTGGCGGTCGGTGCCTGGCGGTCGGTGCCTGGCGGTCGGTGCCTGGCAGTCGGTGCCTGGCGGTCGGTGCCTGGCGGTCGGTGCCTGTCGGTCGGACCCGCAGCGTCCTGACCCAGCGGCTCGGTACTCACGTAGCCCTTGTTGGCGGAGCGGATGTGTCTGCAGATGTAGAGGTTCTTGATGACGCCGTCGCTCCTCGCCGTGTGGATCCGGGGAGCGAAGGACAGCGCGGGTCGGTCCTCCGACGAGGCGAACTTCATCTGGGCCAGGTTATGGATGAAGAAGTTCAGCTTAGTGGCGACGCTGCCCAGACTGGACTCAATCAGCCTGGAGGAGGAGACACAGCTGAGGGTCAGAGGTCACAAAGATCCAAACCAGGTGTTACGCCACAGCTGTGACCGTAGGAGGCGCTGATGCATTTTAACACTACGCTCTGCCAAAAACACAAGTTACACTAGGAGAAAAACAAACGCAAAAAAGCTGACCAAAAAATAAAAAACCTCTGATATTATATTTCCATAATAATCATAGAAAGTCACAATATGATGCCTGTTAACAGATATTGTAACCAAACTGCTACTTATAGTAAAATAACAAGCTCTACTAAAGCAATTAGAGTCTCTGTGAGCTTTTTTTCAACATATAGTCAGTGTTTTCAGTAAAGTTGAGCAAACTGTCCAGAAATGAACTTCATGTTTTTATTGAGAGGCATTGAGAGGAACTGGATGACTTTAAGGTTTTGTTTATGTCCTTTAATTAGCTCTGCACCCTTAGAAGATGAAGAAAATAAGATGCTTTATTAGAGAATTTATACTCTTTAAAAACATACTAAGAAATATCAGATTTAAAATATAATAATAACAGGAGACAATGTAAAATAGCGCCCTCTTCATTTCTGGAGTCAAATAGTCCCATTTCCAAATATGGTATGAGTCTGCTTGCCCCTTCCTGTTAGCTGCAGCGGTGTGGTCAGGTGGAGGCGTACCTGGTGAAGTAGGTGGTGGCATCAGCCTCCGACTCGTGAGGCCTCAGAGTGTCGTAGACGTATTTCAGGTCGTCCAGGTCTGACAGTTCAGGAATCCCACAGGAGAG